TCTTCTTTACATGGTTCCTCTTAAGTGTATCAGAGAGTTAAAGGTTGGGTTCTACGATGCTACGTGTCCAAAAGCGGAATCAATCGTTAACCAAATAGTGCAAAAACGATTCACGTCTGACCCGTCCATTGTACCCGCTTTACTTCGCATGCATTTTCATGATTGCTTTGTTAGAGTAAGTTCTCATTTGCCATCTTTTAACATGCATAAACTTATATGAAATCAAAGTATATTAAATAATAAATTGTCTCCGTATATTTATATACCATGTCATTAAAATGGTTATATAATTAAAATTTTACTAGTAAAGAATTGAATAAATTATTTGTATGATAATAATATATGAAATTATAATTTCAGGGTTGTGATGCATCTATCTTGATTGACTCAACCAAAGAAAAGCAATCAGAAAAAGATGCAGGACCGAATCAAACTGTGCGTGGATTTGAGCTCATTGACGAGGCTAAGGCAGCCTTAGAGGCTCGATGCCCTTCAATTGTCTCATGTGCAGACATCATAACACTTGCAACACGAGATGCTGTGGTTTTAGCTGGAGGTCCTAAATACACAATCCCGACAGGAAGACGTGACGGTTTGACTTCTGATATTAATGAAGTAAATTTACCAGGACCACAATTTAGTGTGTCTCAGGCATTACAATCTTTTACCGATAAAAAATTAAATCTCAATGAAATGGTGACACTATTAGGTGCACATACAGTTGGTGTCTCTCATTGCAGTTTCTTTCAAGACCGACTTTCTAATTTCCAAGGCACTGGACAACCTAATCCTTCAATGGACCCTACTTTAGCTGCCAAGCTGAGCAAGACTTGCAGCTCTGACACCTCATCTGGAAGGGACCCTACTGTATTTTTGGACCAAAATACATCATCTATTTTTGATAACCAATTTTATAAGCAGATTGTTTTAAAGAAAGGGATATTGCAGATTGATCAAGAGCTTGCCATGGATCAATCTACTAGGAATATTGTCTTGAGTTTCGCATCAAACGACGTTAGATTCAAACAAAGTTTTGCAAATGCTATGGTGAAAATGGGAACTATTGATGTTCTTGTGGGTAATGCTGGTGAAATTAGACAAAATTGTAGAGTTTTTAATAAAGTAGCAAAACCATCAACACCACCTCCCAAGGGTCAACAATTCACACCACCATCAACTCAACCCACCAAGCCACCGCCATCAACTCCATCCACCAAGCCATCACCATCAATTCCACCTTCTAAGCCACAACCATCCACCCCATCTGCTAAGCCAAAACCACAAGTTCCACCTTCTAAGCCGCCACCATCAACCCCGCCTGCCAAACCAAAACCACAAAGCCCACATTCCAAGCCGCCAGCATCAATCCCAATCACCAAACCAAAATCAGTGAAGCCAAAGAATAAAAAGAAACCATCGAAACCAAAAGATAAGAAGAAACCACCAAAGCCAAAAGATAAGAAAAAATCATCAAAATCAAAGTCATCTAAACCCAAACACAGAAAATGATAATATCTTAGATTCTTTTTATTGTTACTTCTTTTCTTAAATAATAACATACAATACACATTGTTGAAGTTTGTAAGAAATATATATATAAAAGTTTGATATTTGTATTTTCTTTAAATCTTTTCGCCTAACAGTTACATATAAAATATTGATAATTATGTAAGTTTGTCTTTTTTACACTCTTTCTATTGAACTAATGCATTACACTTCTATTTTCCTTACCTTTTTTTTTATCATAATATAAGTGCCATGTTTATTTTCAATACTTTATGTACATTTCTTAACAGAAATATGTGCTCTATTTTCTTTTACTAACGTGGATTACTAAATTTGAGATACTAAAAAGGAAGGACTAAATGGATTTGGGAGGTAATTAGAGATTATTTGGCCAACCCTCTCTCTCAAATTTCCAAATTGGATCTTAAGTATCAAGTAATCAAAAGACATGACCCAAAAAACCCAGAAAAAGTTCCAACATTTTTCAGAAGAGAAATACATATAATTGGGATTTAGAGATAGACCCATTAACAAAATGTTTGGAAGAGAAATACATTTAATTGGGTTTAAAGATAGACTCATTAACAACATGCTAACACATTATTTACAGGCCCCCAAAATAAGCTAGGCCCTTAGAACTGCAACCCATCTTCTTACTAATTGCCAAAGTTTGCATATAATATATGTAGATGCATGCACACATATATATATATAATGATAACAATTATAATAGTAATAATTTAAATAAGAATGTACATTTTTATGTTTGGATTCAAAAATTAAATTAAATTAAATCGAATTATTCACATGAATAAATAACGTCCAAACTTTTGAGATAAAAACACAGGCAAGGTGAATACAAAATTTTACTTCAAATTTTATTTTTTAGCTTTTAAATTAGAGTTTTAAGAAAAAAGACTCGGATTCGGGTCGGGTGCATATGAATTCGGATTGGGTACACGTGGAACCGTGGGAATCACGAACTTTGGTGACGTGGCAATTATGAGGTTGTTGACGTGGACATCACATGAGCGAATTCAAAATTTCTATGGTGATGTGGCTTGTCTGTGTAACGCGTTCCAGAGGGTAGACGCCGTTAGGGAAAACGGAGAAAGTTAACGATGTGGAGAAAATCTTACGTGTTTTTTTTAATCCAGAAGGAATTTTGAAAAAATATAATTAGTAATGTATTGATATTTTAATTATTTAATTATAATAATAATTATTTTAATCCGAACTGATAAAAAATAAAATTACAAAAAAAGCGTGAAATCATAGTAGCGTGAGACTGGCGCTATAGGGGTAATTATGTAATTTCAATTTAAAGAAATTGAAAACTGGGAGTAGTGTTTGGGAAACAATAGTGAGGAGGGAGGAGGCGAAAAGGAGGAAATAAAGAGATAAGAAGAGAAGGAGAGAGAGAGAGAGAGAACCGATCGGGTGAGAGAAATCCGGCCTCTGCCAATCGGCGCTGGGATTCCGTTCCGGCAGCGGTGCAACCAGGAGGAGGAGGGCAGGCGCGAAAAGAAAAACCCCTGGTTACGCGTTTTCTTTGCTCCGACGAGGCTAGGCGGCGATTCTGCGAGGTCAGACCACCCCGCTAGATTCTTTTATTTCAGGCGTCGTTCCCAGCCATTTGTGGTTCCTGAAACGCCGGTGATTGACGGGACGCGAGGTGAGGGTTTCTACCTTTTTTCTCTCGATCCGGCTTTTTACGGGTATACAACTGATTAGGGCTCGATTCTTTTTGCCAGATTTTGATCCATATAATTCATCAAGATGCCGGCTACAGCAGGAAGAGTTCGAATGCCCGCGAACAATAGGGTGCATAGTAGTGCAGCCTTGCAGACACACGGTATATGGCAGAGTGCAATTGGATACGATCCATATGCACCAAACAAAGATGACTCCAAGAACCTGGCACAACAGAAGGCGTCTAACTCTGAACCTGATGCTGAGAATACGTATGCCAGCTTTCAGGGTCTTCTGGCTCTTGCCCGTATTACTGGATCAAATGCTGATGAGGCTCGTGGGGCTTGTAAGAAGTGTGGTCGTGTTGGTCACCTTACATATCAATGCAGGAATTTTCTAAGTGTTAAGGATGATATTAAGGGAAAAGACCCTGAAGCAATTGAAGCTGCGGTTTTGTCTGGGTTGGATAAGATTAAGGGGAGTGTTGGTAAACGTAATGGGAAGAAGGCTGCTGAGAGTGAGGAGAGCAGTGAAGAAGAGGATGAGGAGAGTGAGAGTTCGGATTCTGATGCTGATTCAGAGCTTGAGAGGATTATTGCTGAGAGATATGGGAAGAAGAGTAGTAGTAAGGGGAAGTCATCGAGAAAGGAGGATTCGGATGAAGATGTATCTGATTCAGACTCCGGGGAGAAGAAAAAGAGAGGGAGGTCAAAGAAAAGGAGAAGTGGGAAGAGAGAACGTGGTGATTCTAAGGATGAGGACAACGATGGAGGTAGGAGGAAGGGGAGGAAGGAGAAGAGAAGGAGGAGGGATGAATCCTCAGATGAGGATGATCAGCGAAGGCGTCATAGGAGAAAGAGTCGAAAGGAGAAAAGGAGAAGGAGAAGTCATCGTCATTCAGATGACTCTGATTCAGATGTGTCTGAAGACGCCGGAAGAAGACATAAGCGAAAGAGCAGGAAGGCTGAATCATATTCTGATGCTAGTGACTCTGATGACTCCAGAGTTGGAAGGGGCGCTAAGCGGTCGGATAAGAGGAGTCGGAAACGCCATCATGACGATGATGAGTAGAACATTTCAACGTAAGGTATTGTTTTCAAATTCACTTGTTACACTAACCTGAAGCAATTGATTTATGCGTATAGTATAGATGATCTATTTATTTTCAATGTGCTATTACTTGTAGAAGCTACAGATGATTTCTTTCTACCTTCTTCTAAGAAATTGCTGAATATTGCCTGATTATTGGTAGTCTCTTATTTCAAAAATGTATTGGCAGTCTCTTATACTGATTCGACCAAGACATTGCTGAATATTTAATCACTGTAGATGTGATAACAAATAGAGACAAGAGTTTGTTGACTTACCAAAATACTCATATTATCCATCGAAGCTAGCCTATGTGGTTTCTAATGTAGTTGAATTCAAAGATTGAGTCGTTCAACTTTTGGCATTGAAATAAGAATTCTGAGAACAATCTCATGGATGACAAGCTTCCTACCTTTATTTCCGTAATTGATTAGAGTTTGAAAATTTGGACAGTGTCTTCAATCTTCCTTCAGTTTAAATGCTTGCTTGTGCTTAGCTTACAGGCAAGAGAAAATGATCAATTTTACCAGCTACGGGTGAAGACCCATTCTCTTTAAGACACTACAATTTTAAGATTTTCTCTTAAAGCTAAAGTGTGTTTTGGTGAAAGGGATTGCAAAAATAAGAAGAGCTAATGAAAATTGTTGGTAGTTGTTCTGAACCACTGAAAAATGATCTGGAAGAAACGGAACCGGTACGGGGGAACTGGTTCAGAAAAATCAAACAGGATGTTGGCTGATTAGGGTTTTCTGCTTGTGAATTACTGTTTTTTATCGGTTTGGAGCTGTTTGGGTGGTGAGTTTTTTATGCGGACAAACTTCGGTTTTGTGTACTTCATAATTTCTAAGACGTTACATCTAAAAAGTTTTAAACGTTACAGTTAAGAGTTTGTATAACTAAAGTCTGCCTTAAAAGTAAAATTACAAAAAGTATTTATAATGCTTCCTAACTAACATTTCCTAAATATGATCAGACTATAAAAAATACTAATAAGATTAAGAAATGCTACTTCCAATAAAAATAGTAAAACTAAACACTAAAGAAGAATGGAACTTAAATTACTACAACTATAACAATAGACTTCTAAATACTTCAATAGTTTTGTATTAATTATCATTTCTAATCTATTTAGGTAAGTTAAAGTTAACCTATTATGCATCGTTGATTAGCTCTAACTAGAATTTGGCAACCTACTACTAGTCTTTCCATGGAAAGAAATTTACTTATTTCATGTTAGTATTTTGCGCAACTCCTTTGGTAACTATTTTGAATTGCTGAAGCACTTACAGACTACGAGTCACACACTTTTAGTTTGGTGATGGCTTGATTATTACTTAGATGTATGAAAATATGGGACTATCAGTTACAATTTCTTCTGGCTAGGTTAAAGGAGAGTTACTCCATAAGAGAAGAGTCTTATTGTCTTGTTACTAGGTTGATTAGGTTCTCTTTAAGGGCAGAAGAAAATAAAGTTATTATTACTTAATAACCATTTGGTGTAAGAAGAGAAGAAAACATGATTTTCAATGAAAGCTTTGTGAAAATGGCTGCTTAAAAGATGAAGGGGCATATAAAAAATTTGCGACCTTCGTGAACTGGATAGTATTATCATGCATCGGAGACATGATGCCTCCTGTAATTTCTACCCTCACATTAAGTAAACAAATATCACGGTTATTAAAAGTAAAACATTAGTTTCTCCACTCTTGCATAAATCATGCCTCGAATGTATAATAACATTTTCCATTGTGAATTATATATCTTAGAGAATGTTTTTTTTTTTAATTGAAATGTTCTGGTTTTGCAGGTATGCAGAGGCACGGCTGAAGTTATCTTTCAGAATTTGGGTTCCCATCCTAGTAGACGGATTCGTGTTTTGTGCCAGCATGATAGTGGGACTGAAGTAATATAAGGTGTTAATTTAGTCCAAGACTCAAATGAATTATACTTTCTTTGGAAAAAATGATTTCCTTACTTCAAAATGAAACCGAATTTAAGAATTTGTGAGTGTCTTGAACCAATGTATGTGTTTGTCATCGGGTTGTGGATGCTCAAACCATTTCAATCCGACTCAGCAGCTTTAATTTCTTGAGCTTTGTCCGATTGCAGTGGAGATGATATTATTATATGTACTTTCGAAAATATGTTAATGCTATTTGGTTGTTGTATTGTCTCCTTTTGGAGGTACGCCCAGGTTAAGTTATATCACTTGAATTTGAATTTGCTTCAAAATAAATTGGGAGATATGTGTTGATAGAATCTTCAGCAGTACAAATTATGATGAACATATTTTGAAACTTGATTTTTTTTTACTTACAAATACTTTTTTTAAATGCTTGAGTAAGGATATTTTAGAAAGTTGAAATATAGTTTTTACATGTTGTTGTAAACATTAAGAGTAGATATACTTAGGTCTATTTTGTTAGGTCACGACGTTTTAAACTGGAAAAATATGAGAATTGTCGTTGACTATTTGATAGATATATAATTATTTTGTACAAGGGTGGTCTTCTTTTAGGATCATTGTGCTTAATAATATTTTTTCTTTTATTTCAGAAAAAAAAAAGGTTATACATGTTCTGTTTTCTTCAATTTTAGGCTTGGACAATAATAATATAACTAAACCGTCTAAAAATTCTCCATTAAACGTAGGAGTCCTTAGATTACTCGAAAACAAAAACTCAAACGTTGAAGTATATTATAAAACCGATACAAATTAGGTTTTTTTATAAGGTTTGAAATAAGAATCCGATTAAGAATAGAAAATCTTAAAAGATTAAGTCTAACTAAATATAAAAAATATTAGAGAGAAATAAAAAACTAAGAATATAGCACTGTTTTTCTTTTTTATTTGTTTCAAAAGTAAAGTTTTTTTTTTTTTTTAAATATTTTTATAATAAGAATATTATTTTACAAATTTTTAAAAAGTAAAATAGGATATTTGACTTAGAAATTTAAATCATTATGTCATCAAGATTGAATTAGATTAGCAACATTTGCCAAATAAATATCATGGAAGTACTACAGTAGGTGGGAATATAATTAATTTTAGTCACTGAAACTATTCAATTGCCACCTTCATTCATTATGTAATTAATTTGCTTTCTGCAACGTTCATTTTTGCAGAGCCAACAGTGCAAGTGGCATCCTCTATTATTTACATTTAACAAAACGACGACGTTGTTATCGATGTAAGTAGAAGCCAAAATGAACTGAATTTTACCGAGTATCTCCTTCACCTGCATATATTCTCCCTGTTCTCCTTGGATTACTTTAATCTTGACTCAACCCCGTTAATTAACAAGTAAGAATTGGAAGTTACTGATCATTATTTAACTACGTAATTACTATTTTTAATCTCCCTCTGTTTTAGCGTCATAAAACACACTGTGTCTTAATTAAAAAAATTGTATTATCATTAATTGTATTATGTTTAGTGAACCAATATTACATAAAATAAATTAACCCTGGGATAATTAAATAATTTAATATTTTCTTCAACTCCGGCACCAGCCGCGCTTACAGCATCAATACTGAACCAGATTTGGTCTGTGCTTTTATTTATTTATTTTATATCTCGCGTGCAATTTGAATAATTTATTTAGACAATACTAATTAATTAATTAATTCTTCAAAATTCTCATTTCTATGCCACGTCGTCCGTACTGTCCTACGTGGCAAATCCGACGTGTCCCCGCTCTCAAGATGCCCGTTGAGCCGTTGCAACCCCTTTCTCTTTCTCTTTTAAATACACACTCCATTTCTCTCACTTTTCATTTTCATCTCTTCTTCTCTCTCTACCGATTCTGAAAAGGAAACTCAGTTTCTCTCCCCAAAACTTCTTACATCTCTGAAGCTATACCATTTTCTTGCTCAATCTAGCCGTCAATCATCTTCGGTTTGTAATTATTGATATTAGTTACCGAAATGGCGGATAGTTCCGGCAGAAAGCTGTTTGTAGAAGTTTGCAACGCCAAGAACTTGATGCCGAAAGACGGACAAGGCACGGCCAGCGCCTATGCTATCATCGACTTCGACGGTCAGCGCCGGCGAACCAAGACGAAATTCAGAGATCTAAATCCTCAGTGGGACGAAAAGCTCGAGTTCCTCGTTCATGACGTTGAATCCATGGCCACCGAGATTCTCGAGATCAATCTCTACAACGACAAGAAGACTGGTAAGAGAAGCACTTTTCTCGGTAAAGTCAAGATAGCTGGGAGCACTTTTGTCAAAGCTGGATCCGAGTCCCTTATTTACTATCCGTTGGAAAAGCGAAGCGTCTTCTCTCAGATCAAGGGGGAGATTGGCATCAAAGTTTATTACGTAGATGATGATCCACCGGCAGCTGATCCTGCAGCGGAGAAGAAACCGGAGGAGGCGAAGGCAGAGGTGGCGCCACCTGCCGAGGAGAAACCGCCCGTGGATACAAAGCCAGAGGAGGAGAAGAAAGAGGAACCGAAAGCAGAGGAAAAAAAGGAAGAGGAGAAGCCTAAAGATGAAATTAAGGAAGAAGAGAAAACCAAGCCACCTGCAGAGGGGAGCAATGTGAAGCCCGAAGAGGCTCCTCCTGCGGCATCTCCACCGGCTGAGGTAGGGAATCCACCATTAGCTCATAATGAAAAGCCGAAGTCGCAAAAGGATAATTCAGAGACCGCAAAGCAGCCCGATCTTAGCGTCAATGAGCTGGAACTCCGGTCTCTTGCCAACGATCGGAGCCGCAGTGCCTACGATCTCGTCGATCGGATGCCATTTTTATACGTCCGTGTCGTCAAGGCTAAAAGAGCCAACAAGGAATCCAACGGTACAATTTATGCCAAGCTCGCGATCGGCACTCATAGTATCAAAACAAAGAGTCAAAGCGACAAAGATTGGGATCAAGTTTTTGCATTCGACAAAGAAAGCTTGAATTCAGGCTCTCTGGAGGTTTCGGTGTGGACTGAAGCGAAAGGAGAAAATGAGCAGTGTGTAGAGACTTGCTTGGGAACGGTGTCGTTCGACCTGCAAGAGGTGCCTAAGCGAGTGCCACCTGATAGTCCCTTGGCACCTCAGTGGTACAGTTTAGAGTCGGAGACATTGCCCGGAAACGACATAATGCTCGCCGTTTGGATTGGGACTCAAGCCGACGAGGCTTTTCAGGAAGCATGGCAATCAGATTCCGGCGGGTTGATACCAGAGACCCGAGCCAAGGTATATCTCTCTCCAAAATTATGGTATTTAAGACTGACGGTTATCCAAACTCAGGATTTGCAACTACCTTCCATGACTGAGGCCAAGGTTCGAGGTCATGAACTTTACGTGAAGGGTCAGCTTGGACCACAACTTTTCAAAACGAGCCGGACATCTATGGGGTCCTCCTCCAATTCAGCCAACCCGACTTGGAATGAGGATTTGGTTTTTGTGGCCGCTGAGCCGTTTGAGCCCTTTCTGGTGGTGACTGTGGAGGATGTGACCACTGGGCAGCCTGTGGGCCACGTCAAGATACCAGTAGCAAGCATCGAGCGCCGAGCTGATGATATAACAGAAACAAAATCCAGGTGGTTCAATTTGGTTGGTGATGAAAATAAGCCGTACACCGGAAGGATACATTTAAAAGTTTGCTTGGAAGGTGGGTATCACGTGCTAGACGAGGCTGCTCACGTGACTAGTGATGTCCGACCGGCAGCCAAACAGCTGGCCAAGGCTCCGATTGGGCTGCTAGAGGTTGGGATCCGAGGGGCGACTAATCTATTGCCTGTTAAGACAATAGATGGGACGCGCGGGACAACCGACGCATACGTGGTGGCTAAGTATGGGCCTAAGTGGGTTCGGACTCGTACTATTCTTGATCGCTTTAACCCACGATGGAATGAGCAATACACATGGGATGTATACGATCCATGCACGGTTCTTACCATCAGTGTATTTGATAATGGAAGGTACAAGCGTGATGATGCAGGGAAGCAAGGAAGAGATGTTAGAATTGGAAAATTACGCGTACGCTTATCTACACTTGATACCAATCGTGTCTACCTATCGTCATACTCCCTGACTGTTTTGTTACCGGGTGGTGCCAAAAAGATGGGAGAAATTGAGGTAGCAATTAGATTTTCATGCTCATCATGGTTGAATCTCATCCAAGTCTACACCAATCCAATGCTGCCGCGCATGCATTATATACGACCATTGACTCCCTCTCAACAAGATATTTTACGCCACACAGCTATGCGCATAGTCACAGCTCGACTCACTAGATCCGAGCCACCTTTGGGTCAAGAGGTTGTCCAGTTCATGTTGGATAGCGACACGCATTTGTGGAGCATGAGAAGAAGCAAGGCCAATTGGTTCCGCGTCGTGGGTTGCTTGACACGAGCCGCGACTCTGGCAAAATGGCTTGACGGAATCAGGATGTGGGTTCACCCACCCACTACAGTCTTGGTTCATATTTTGCTTGTGGCAGTAATTTTATGCCCACACTTGGTGCTTCCCACCATATTCATGTACGCCTTCTTGATCTTAGCATTGAAATTTCGGCACCGCCAAAGGGTCCCCTTCAACATGGACGCAAGATTGTCGCATGTGGAGGCTGTGGGTGTCGACGAGCTTGATGAAGAATTTGACGGGTTCCCAACCACACGATCGCCAGATCAGATTCGTATCAGATACGACAGATTGCGAGCTCTGGCTGGCCGGGCCCAGACTCTGTTAGGTGATGTGGCGGCACAGGGAGAGCGGTTAGAAGCGTTGTTCAGCTGGAGGGATCCAAGAGCAACAGGAATATTTGCAGTGTTTTGCTTATCTGCTTCACTAATATTCTATGCAGTGCCGTTTAAGATACTTGTGTTGGGCTACGGGTTCTACTATTTTCGTCACCCGAGATTCCGCGATGACATGCCATCAGTCTCGATGAACATTTTCAGGCGACTACCATCAGTATCCGATCAAATTTTATAGAATATCTGATCAGGTATCCAAATTACTGCATGTTTTAGTTTTTATTTATTTATTGTACGGGTTTTATTATTCATTATTTGATAATCCACACACCATTGACAAAGATGAACCATAAATTACAAATTGTTTTGGGGGGTTTGAACCGCCGTCATCCAGGCAAAATATGACCGTTGGATGGGAGTGAAAAAGAATACTTTCTCCGACAAACTTTGGGACCTCTTAGAGTGATATTAATTTAGGCAAGATGACCGTTATAACTTGTACGGTGGTAGTGATTAGAAATTTAAACACCAGAGAGTTTTTGTAATAACCTTTTTTTTCTTCCCTTATTTTCTCCCAAACCACAAAAGATCACTCGGATGATAATTACATACAATATGTGAACCACATAATAAAGCTAACAACTCAAATTTGTAATTTTAGATCAAATTATTAATTTATTAATATTACGAAAATAATATTAAAAACTAATTAAATCTTTTACAAATATAATTAACTTAAATTAAATATTGTAATTACAATTATCAAGATATAAATATTCCATTTAATAATGGCTCCATTAATCACACACAAAAAAAGAAAAACAGAGAATTTAATTATTAAAATATATAAGTTTTTATAAAAATATTTAATTAAGAAAAACGCATGTATAGTTTCAACCAACAAAAACTGTACTTTAGACTTTATAAAAAACTGAAACAAATTTCACATCATTCTTCACGCATTTAAAATATGTCTATGTCTTCTTCCATGTCATGTATGTACGCTCTTGTGAAAATTTGTTGAAGCAAGTTAGCTGCTGTTGTATCTAACATGTATTTTGCATATATATATTTATATATATTTTGAAGAGAAGCTAAAACAAAAGAAGTTGAATGTGAGAACATGGATTATATGAGATATTTGTGTGTTTGGTTTGATTTCCATCTTTATAAATAAATATATATTTTCTAACCACTTTTTGTGCATTAGAATTTTATAGATGCTTTCTCTCTCTCTCCTCTCTCTCTCTCTCTCTCTCTCTATATATATATATATATATATAGATATGAAGGGACTATCGAAGTCAAATAATTTATAAAATACCTTTCTGGCTATGTCTCGATATTCTGATTATTCATGGAATATGAAAAGCAGATGAATGAATAATCATCATCTGCTTCTGAAACAAATCAAACAATTTTTTGAGAATCCTACAAAGATTAATTCGTTCTTTTTTCTCTAATAGAGATGGTCAGAACTTCATCTGACCCTCTAATCTTATTGAAAAAATGATTAAGTCCCGAAGATCCCCAAGAGTGTCACGTGAGAACCCAAGATTTGTAGATTGAAAGAACCCCACGTGGAGGTTGAAGGAGGAGTCAAAATAGAAGGAAGAAGAGAAGCAGTCAACCAGGAGGAGAATCTGCTACCAGTAGGAAGGATTTCTTAGTTGTTCCTACTAGTTACTGGATTTTTATTTTTCCTTGATTTTCTGAGTTTCAGTTTAATTAATCACGTTTTCATAGAATTAGGATGTTCTGTTATTTTTCTATTATTTCTTCCTGTATTTAAAGACCTCAAGAACGAATGAAAAGGCAGATTGCATTTTTCAGAAAACCCTTTTTTCCGTGACTGTTTTCTCACTGCAAGCAGAAGCACCCAACTTTATTCTCACTCACACTCTCCACTCTGATCGGGACCTATCAAAAAATAGTTGATCAGAACTTCATTTGAGTCTGGGTTTGAATTCTATATAGAAGTCTAACAGGGATAAAAAAAAAAAATAGTTATGTATTTGCATAATGCAGCTTCAGAATGCTAAGAATGGTGGAATGCGATGCCCAAATTTTAGTTTGCATCTCTGTTTAAGAAACTCTCCTTGCTTAAAAAGCTTTGATATTGAGCCAGAAGATGAAGGCACAATCAAGCAAGTCTACATCATGCTTAAACCTGAATTCAAAAACCAATCTCACTCTTTTTTAACTCTTTCATGACCAACATCATCAACTCATGTTACTCTCTTTTTATGCATTGTAAAAGTGGACTATATTATCACCTTTGCACTTATTCATTTGATAACAAAACCCAAAGACAAAAACAAAAACAAAAAACCAAAAGAAGAAGAAGAAAAAATCATCTGCATTGCCGCCTACTAAAATTTCTTTCTGACAGTAATCTAGTCAACAAAGTTTTCAATCTTCTAGACCCTGGACCTGGCTTCAAAACACCATAATTCTCATTATTCAGACCAGTACAAGCCCTGCGCCAGTTTCCATTCCCAGAACACCATCCTCCATAATTGAATTGTTCGTGTTGCCTTTTGAGGAGATCGTGATCGATCCTGTTAAGAACTGAGTCGTTCTGCTTAAACTTCCGAGCAAATGGTCGATTGCTTATAACCATTTTTCTGAAATCCTTAAGTCCTAAAGACCTAGGATGTTGCTTAGGAGGTATGTCCCATGTGATGTAGTGAAGATCATGGTTAACTGTAGTGTTTCTGTATTCCTTAGAGTTGCATATAACTGTCTGGAAGTATCCCTCTGGAGAGGACACGAAGTTTGTGTAGTAAAGAAGGAGAGTTCTTGGCAAGTTGTCCCAACCCACTATGCAATACTCCGAAAATGATCTCGATAGCATTGTCCAAGCTGAACCTGTTGTCAAAGGAATCAACATTCAGAAATTTACAATTTACATCTTCAACGACATATTAATTTAATTGATTATAATATTAATTATGAATCATACATTGCATTTGAAGAAAATAAAACTCTCAAATCATCTAGATCCCTTACACCATAATAAAAATAAAGAATAATAATTTTCTTCTATCCCGGTGCAGATAATATGGCAAATATTTATGTGAGTTTTAATAGTTTAATATATCTATTTTTTTATAAGTAGGAAATTAAAGCGGGCTCAACGGCTAT